AAAATATTAAAAAAGAGGAAGAAGTAGGCCTCTTTAGGTGTGTTTTTCGCATTGACCTGATTTTAATAACACAACGGTTCGTCTCCAACACCTTTTTTTTAGTTAAACCGTAAAGTTTCATTGCAAGAAGCAACCTTTACAACCTAAGCACAATAAGTTATAGCAAAACGTACAAATCTAGGCTGAACAAAGTACGCTGCACTCTCAGATACATTCACATCGCTATATTGCATGTTTTCCTTCTAACTTCAAATAAGGCTTTAAGCCACAAACCTTACATGTGTCAAAAGCTGATTATACATAATTTAATGAATTATTTGGTATTGTGGGATGTTAAAAAATGTTTGATCAAATTATATATTACTCAAAGAGAGAACAGCAGTAAACAATGGCAGTTATTATTGACCGATGGCTTATGTAAACTATAAACAGAAATGAATAGAATGTTAGTGACATTATCAGCTTGCTGAGATTTAAGATGTAGATGGATATATTCTGATATATGATTTATGGCTCATTTCTGACCTATTTTTTCATAAAGGCCAAAAAAATATTTATTTTAGTGTAATTTATTTGGAATTGGACATTGTTGCGGCCTCCCTTATAGTCGTTTGACAAACTGAAAATCAGATTTCTCACGACCGTCTTAAGGGTATCTCACAATGTTTTTCAAATACTAAATCCACAGTACAATAAATAATAGATATTTCTGCAGACTTTTCTATCTGATGATGATGATCTCTGCAATTTCACCAAAGTGACCACGAGCCTCTCAGATGCTTTTCTTATCAGTGATTTCTTGCCTGGTCTGTGATGTTAAAATACACGCAGATGCCTTCCAAAAGCAGTCTGTTTTACTATAGTCTTTCAAGGGTATTTAGTAATGAGAGCGGTACAACACTACATCCACACTTTTCAGATATTTGTATGCAAAACTATTAAAATGTAACCATAGTTTTTCTTTCATTCTACCCACTATTCATTTACCATATAATTTACCTATAAATAAACTGAAGTTTGTAATTTTAACATATGATGTGGAAAATAATGCTCTTTAAAAGGCTTTTAAGCCAGTACATCAGTGTTACTATGTTAAAGTTACCAAATTGAAACAAACTTGATATCAATCTCTGCTACCATAACATTGTAAACCATGGATGAAACATTTTTAGGTTTCAGTTGTTTAAATAGTTAATAAATTAAAACAAGGCCCTGCTGGTTTCTACACTTCACATGCAGGTAATCCTTAATATTATGCAATTTAAACAATAAACTTGATGTATTTGAGATAAATACACTCATTAGTATTAATTTGGAAGTATACTTTAAGTATACTTAGAAATCTGAAGTATACTCTGTGCTTCGGGATGGCTGCTGGGCTGAGGTCCTCTCTGCTCCCTCCAGATTGCATGTCTGTTTGCAGAAGCTCCTACAGGTTCTCCCTCGGCTTTGCAGACAGTTTTAATCTTCTGCAGATACAGAAGTTGATTGTATGTTTTTTTTTTTTTTGTATTTCTGCTCTTTTGTTTTTCCTTCTCTTCCCCTGTCCACCAGTAATGTTTTGCATTACTAATCCTACTTCTGTAATAAAAGTAAATCTTAAATAAATTATAAACAGTATTAGATGATCGAGGGAGGTTCTTCATCCTGACAAGCCTCCCTTGGCAAAGCAAAAGTGTTTAGCAGAGCACGGCGCTCACATTCCAACTCTGTTGCCATAATGATGAACATGACAGGGATAAAGAAAAAAAAGAAATCAGAAGTATAGTTTTTAAATTCTAAATAAACTATATTTACTATAATACAACTACATATGCTATATTTAAAAAAGCATATGCATAATGTTAGGTTTGTGTTAAAATAATCTAAAAAACAAAACAAAACAAACAATCTTCATATTTGGGTGAAATATTCTTGCTTTTATTCAGATCCTTAAACAAAAAAAATTGTTTTTGCAAGGGTAAATGTTTAGAAAAATTTAAAAGTTAAGCACCGTTTCTTTTATTTTAAACACAGAATGCATCCATGCTTTCCTCCAATTTATATAAAAAAAACTTTAATTACAGAAAATCACACTGAAACTTCCTTATCTGCTGAATTTTATCGTCCATTAAATCGATTCCTCTAACTTTTAGAAGAGGTATCCGTGTGCTTTCATAAACCTTTACTTATTAAAATAAAAATGTAGGAAGTAATATTTAGGCTTATAAAGAACGCCTCCTCCCTGATTGGCCAGCGTCCCGATAAGAGTTGTGTTAGCCCCTCCCCTTTCCTGCTGTCATTCATGTGGCCCTGATGAGCCATCGCAGTTCAGCTGCATCCAGCCCAGTCCGCCAGCCTTCTCTCTTCCTGTTTGCCAGCCGCAGTTAGGAGCCACCATGCCTGGAATCCTGCTGGGAGACGTTTTCCCAAACTTCGAGGCGGACACCACCGCTGGAAAGATCAAATTTCACGATTTTCTGGGCGACTCGTAAGTGCGCATGCTCACAATACCTCAGCTTTTTTTTGTGTGTGCATATTTCTCAATTTTTCTTTTATCTTTCACTGTTCTTCTCTAAAACTGCAACATATGGTCGCTAAATACAGGATAATTACGATCTAATATTTTATGCGAACGCAATGAATACAGTTTTTACGCATAATTATTGGCTTAATTATGCCATTTTTCTGTCCAAACCGTTACGCCAAATGGAAAACCGCCAACAGTTACTATTACACAAGCAGGACATACCTGAACCATTTACCTCTGGAATATGTTTCTAATGTTCTATCAGTTTTTTAGAGCAAATAACTCATGAAAAGGCTTTAAAAACACGCTTTGCTGATAAATGCAAATCTAAAATGTTTACATTTGTCCAATGTTTGTTTCTATCATGCATTTAAAAGTGCTTAAAACTTAAAGGGAACTTTAAAATACTGCTGCTTAACTTTTTTTTGCGAGAAAAATCTTGCAAAACCGGAAAAAAACACGTTGCAAATAACCTCTGGATTCAAATTTTGTGGATTGCCTGGAAGACGAACACGTGCATCATGTCCAAATTCTTTGCTTGGGAAAAAAAGCAAACAATCCCTCTAGGGAAACTGGAAAATAACTTGTTTCTTTCTCTCTGTCAGTGGGAATAATTGCTGGACTGGGAGAGGAAGGCGTCTGTTGAAGCTGCGTCCTAGATCTTTCTTTTTTCTTAATGCTATGATTATCATCAATCAGGTTTGTTGCTGCCAAAGCAGGATCAAGCTTGAATTCCAGGATAGCCCAGAACAAAGTCCATTTGAGTTTGTTTTGAAACAGTTTTATAACCAGAGGGCAATGGGGTGGAGGGAGTGGTATGATTTTGGTCACCCAGTTATCAGGTGATCTTTTGGATCCCTGTAGGGATCAGTTTTCTCTTCCCTTTTCTGCATGTGATGCCAAGTTTTTAAAGAATATATTTGCTTTGGATTGCTGCCATGCTCTTTTGTTTGGTCTCATTTCTTTTCTTGTAGATGATATTAACTCTTCAGGTTATCCGCTCTCTCACAGCTGCTTTTTCTATGTCTGCTTCTGTCTCCTTGAACCCCAGTCAACCTCAGCAGATTCCTGCTCACACTGAGCCTGGTTCTGCTGGAGTTTTTTTTCCTTTCCACTGTCGCTACAAGCATTCTTAGTGTGAGGGATTGCTGAAGAATCAATAAGTCGATGCAATCAGCTGGTTTTCCTTAGATAGAAAACTTTGAATCAATCTGACTGGATGATCTGGTTGAACTGTAAAGTGCCGTCAGATGACGTGATTTGAATTGGTGCTATAGAAATAAACTGAATAGAATTGAATCTGTAAGCACAGGAAGTGGGAGCATGAGAAATCATGTGCCTCGGTCAGAAGCATATCAAACATGTGACTTGAATGAGGTGTGCTGACCAGTCATGGCCTTTTCATGGTTTTTAGCAGGAAGTTTATCCATCGTTGATTGATTAAATAATTTTTTTTCCTGCAGGTGGGGTATCCTGTTCTCCCACCCAGCAGATTTCACCCCTGTGTGCACCACTGAGCTTGCACGTGCTGCCAAGCTCAAAGATGAGTTCAAGAAGCGAGGAGTGAAGATGATCGCCTTGTCCATAGACAATGTTGAGGACCATAAAAAATGGAGCAAGGTGAGGGAATCGCAGAGGGTGCTCCTTTGTTATTGGTTGTGGTTTCATTTTTTTAATGGGTCGTTGCATTAAATTGTTCCCATCATGGGTAGGGATGGTGGGATAAAGATGAACCTGGGTTGTGATTTATAGGATGACTGTTTACCTCGGCCCATGGACTTTAATTGTTGGGTCAAAGTCCAGTTTAGTTTCTCTTTTTTTCCAGCCATAGAGACGCCTCTCTAGTCTTAGTTTATGCTTTTAGCAACGTTTTTTTTAATGAAATGTTTCACCATTAAAGGAAATGTAACTTTTCCTGGTTTGTAAGTAATCAAACAAGGTTCATCATTTTCTACTTCTAGAAATCTTTAACAAGAAGCAGTGACTTTAGTTGAATCCATGAAGAGTCGCTCAGCGGCAGTAAAACGCTGCTGAAGTTAAACATTAGAACCTGTTCATGTGTCTAAAAATACAGCAGAGATGTTGAAATGATCCAGTTTTCTTTTTATTGCTGGTCTGCTAGTAAAGAACACCAACCGCCCCCTGAGCTGACATTATTCTGGTTATTGAAATAAAACTAATGACCCCCACTAATGTATCATGAAATAGCAGGCAGTGTAAATTCTATTCAGTTTATTTCTATAGTGCCAATTCACATCATGTCATCTCAAGGTACTTTCCACTTCACCAGATCATCCAGTCAGATTGATTCAAAGTTTTCTATCTAAGGAAAACCAGTTGATTGCATCGACACATTGACTGGAATGCAATCCCTCACACTAAGCATGCTTGTAGCGACAGTGGAGAGGAAAAACTCTTTTACTAGGAAGAAACCTCCAGTAGAAAATAAAAAGCATTTCATTTTTGATTTCACAGTTAAAGCTCCTAATAATAATGTTCTGGCCTAAGTTATGTGCTTTTTCTCTGCAGGATGTGATGGCGTATGCTAACGAGGGCGACAGCTCTCTGCCGTACCCCATCATCGCTGATGAGAAGCGAGAGCTTGCCGTCCAGCTGGGCATGCTGGATCCTGACGAGAGGAACAAAGCTGGACAACCCCTGACTGCTCGCTGCGTAAGAAAAACCATTCTGCTCACTTTCAATCACTAAAGCCCTGATTACGCTCAGAAACCAGGTCGTCTGCATGTGTGTCGGAGTTCACGCAGATATGCGCCCCCTCCCCTTCTGCAGGTGCACCTCCCTAAAATTGAAGGTGAAAACAGACAGTACCGCAGGGAGGAGAGAAAGGAGGCCTCTGATTGGTCTATTCTGCATCCGCTCTAAACTGTGTATTTCCTGTTCTTTACCGGCTTGTTTTGTTTCTATGACTGCCATTATGGGAAAAAACTAATGAAGTTGGACCAGCTAGAAGAGCGAAGTGCACGAGAACGCTGGGAGAATTTTTCCCCCTCTTTTTGGCCCTCATGTTCCTCCGTTGTCGCACAAACTTTCCCCCACTTCCTCACCACCTTGGCTGTATCCAGACCCACAGCTAGTTCCTGATTGGCCCTCTTGTGTTGTGGCGTGGAATAACATAGCGCAGACCACGCTTCAATATAAGGCATAAATCAAAAATATCATCTTCATACCTGCGACACACTGCTGCAAGAGCATGTAATTAATTTATCCATCCGTCCATCCCTTTTCTGTCACGTTTGTCCGTGCTCGGGTTGCTCCAGCAGTCTACAGGTGAGAGGCGGGGTCCACCCTGGACGGGTCGCCAGTCCATCACAGGGCAACACAAACAGAAACAGGACAGACTATCACTCACACCTAAGCAGAATTTTAGAGAAGCCATTTTACCTAACAGTCATGTGTTTTGACTGTGGGAGGAAGCCGGAGTACCCGGAGAGAACCCACGCATGCTTGGGGAGAACATGCAAACTTCATGCAGAAAGACCCCAGGACGGGAATAGAACCTGAAACCCTCTTGCAGCAAGGCAGTAGTGCTACCCACGGTGCAGCAGTTTCAATCACTCATCAGTAGTGATGGGTTAATGAGGCAGCTTGAAGCGTTTTGACACATTGCCAAGCTGTAGTGAAACTGCATCGATACTGCCTCGCAGAATACTGACACCTGCTGGACATTTTAAGACACTATTGGACAAAACTAAACTAAACTTGGACTAAACTGAATGGATTTGATGACCCAGTACATTCATATCATATAAGTTATTGTAGGTTATATTCTATTTTTTCATATCTGTGTTTAAATTGAAAATATCTTTGATATTTTAGATGCAGCCAATAAATAATTTATGGAAAATGTGAATGAGGATGCTTGTAGACTAGGATTTAAAATCTGAATTTTACAACAATAAGCACAGTAAAAATGGTAAACTAAGATTCAATTTTAAAGTAACTTTAAATAAGTTAATTTAAGTGATAAGTTGAGTGATAACTGAGAGGAAAACTATGACTATAAATAAATAAAAATAAAAACGCAACGTCTGAATCTTCCTTTTAGGCTGCTCCAAAATTCTTGATCATTTTAATGATAAACTGCAAAATATTAGACGTGTTTTTAGCAGATGCATCATGTTGACAGATATGATTTTAAACACACTTTAGTCAGTCTTCAGTCAGAAACAACTCCTGGATCAGTCACATGACTGTTGAAACGACACGCGCACCAATAGTGTTTTGATCTATGGACTCGATGCGTGCACTTACGCATCGCTGTTGCTGGATCCATCACTACTAATCAGACCTAATAATCAATCTTTAACAATTTTTACCTTTTGATTTGTTTTAAAAATTCTTTGGTTTTTTTTCTTCATTTTAATGCATATCTATAAACATCGACTTTTTTCGGCCATAAGCAACAACCAGCATGTACTTTGAACTTTTTTATAGATGGAGAATATTTTACAATTCCTTCTTGTTCTGTCCGACTATATTAAAGAATACGACATCCTCCGCAGGGCCAAAGTGCTGCAGGCTGTAAACAAAAAAGCTTTACAGAAATCTGATCGTTTTGTCAGCTTTATAACCAGGTCAGTAGTTGAAACAGATTTCACTATTTAAATTATTTTTTCTTTATAAGCTTTAAAAAATTATTGTTGGGTAAAGCTATCATTACAGTGGCCGCCTCTATCAGGAAGGTGGATTTATTAGCGAGGTCAGTCGTCATTAGGGGTGTAAATAATAATCGATGCATCGATCCAACAGCGACGATCCGACGCAAGAGAATCCATTCATGTTTTTTTTTTTTTTTTTTTTCCCCCCGGCTATTTTTATCCATTTGCTCCTGGGCGTAATTCTCCCTCCCGTGCTGCGGTGGCGCTAAACCTATTTTGCCCTCCTACCTCGCTTCCTGGTTATACTCTTACAGCAGTGTGTTGCAGTGAGCTTGATGCAGACATTTTTGATTCATGCTCAATATTGAAGCGTGGTCTGAGCTACACGCTGTGGGTCTAGATACGGCCGAGGCGGCGAGGAAGTGGGGACGAGTTTAGTCCGACGACGGAGGGACATGAGGGCCAAAAAGAGCGGAGATCCAGGTGGAAAAAGGGTCCCAGCGTTCTCGCGCACCTCGCTCTTCTAGCGGGTCAAACTTCACGAGTTCTTTGCCGCAATTTCGGTCATAAAAACAAACTAAGTCGGCCTCCTGTCTGCGGCACTGTTTGCGGTCAGCTACAATCTGGGAGAGGAGCAGCGGAGCGTCTGTGGAGGGGGCGGGACGTCTGGAGCCGAGGTATTGCATTGCACTGATTTTGTGCAGTATTTTTTGATGCAAAGCCTTTCAGAATCTATAACGCAGGGGCATTATTATTTCAGTGAATGAGGTTTTAATAGGAATAGGTGGAGTGCAACTTTTCTACTTCTGTTATTTGCTGTTGTTTCTAAAAAAAAAATGCATGATATTACAGCTTTCATTGATTTATTTCAAATTTGAAACATTGTCTAGCCTGTAAGATGTAAAAAAAAAAAAAATGAACCAATTAATTGAATCAAATCGTATCGTGGTGTATTCTTGATTATCGAAAATAATTGAATCGTTGGGTCAGGAAATCGATACTGAATCGAATCGCAATGATGGGTGTGATTTATACCCCTAGTCGTCATGGTAACGTACTTTGAAAGGAAAACCTGCTCCGGGTCAGGCTAGTTTTCAAAATTGATTTGAATCCTAGAAAACTCTCCACCCAGCAGCCAATCAGCTGGTTTGGAGGCATCGATGAGGCCTCTAATTGAAGACCTGATTTAATTAAGAGGAAAAAAAAAATTTACACAAGAAGGAACTTGAAATCAAAATATGTTCTAGACCAGTGGTGTCAAACTGGTTCCAGAAAGGGCCGTGTGGCTGCAGGTTTTCTTTCCAACCAAGCGATCGCACCAGACTCCATTCATCTCATCAAGGGAGTAAAATGTAAACATGAGGACTTGATATGAATGGAAAACCTGCAGCCACATGGCCCTTTCTGGAACCAGTTTGACATCTGTGTTCTAGAAAATTAGTTTTCAATTTATTTTTCCTCCTCCTTGTTTTTGACATGCCAATATTTTACTATTCTTTATTTCTTTTCTCCTGTTTAATGTCCTCCTACACATCTGGCATCCACTTGTTTCTTCTAAATTGATATATGAAGCTAAATAATTTTTTTTATTATAATTAGATCTATGAGAAGATCCTTTGTATCACTATGACGATGTGAGTGATGCAGTTTTTCGTGGGCCAGGCTGACGGTATATGCCAGCTCCTGAAGACAAGCATCAAGCTAAATGCTTGCTAATGATGCATCAGCTGCTGGAAGAGAGGTTCCTTCCTGCAGTTTGAATGCAGCATTTGTACTAAAAGCCTCCCTTATCATCTGTAAAGTCTAGAATAGAGCTGTATTAATCAGCCTTTAGACTGTTGAGTTATTTTCCTGTCTGACGGGAGTCAAAAAGACAGATGCTCACAAACTGCGCTCCTTTTTCAGTCTTGATTTCTAAGCTTCAAGATGCCAAAAAATCTTGAACTCAGCCGTGATGATCAAGCCAGCATCGTGGTTCCGTCCATGGACTTGTTCACTAATATTTAACCTGTGTCGCCTATCAGGTGTTCGTGATCGGCCCAGACAAGAAGCTGAAGCTGTCCATCCTTTACCCGGCCACCACAGGGAGGAACTTTGATGAGATCCTCAGAGTTATCGACTCTCTGCAGCTGACTGCGCAGAAGAAGGTGGCCACACCTGTCGACTGGAAGGTAGGAAGTCCGAATTATGGATGGAGAGCCAAGCTTTTTTGTTAACTGTCTGGATGGAAACCAACTCGTTTAAAATCTATTATAAATTTTTGTTTTTTATTCACTTTCAGCCTGGTGACAAAGTCATGGTCATTCCTTCACTCCCAGATTCTGAGGCTACCGCTCTCTTCCCCAAAGGAGTAGCAACCAAAGAGTTGCCTTCTGGGAAGAAATACCTGCGCACCACTCAGATCTGAGGACGGAGAAATAAAAATAAAATTATTAAAACAAACTGTGTTTCTTTATTGCTTGCTTTTTTATACAAATCTGTGATTAATTCTGGATGTGGATATGGGGAAGATCTTCTGGTACAACCAAGCACTAGATGTCAGCCTCCAGCTTTTAACTAACTTTTATCTGGTCGCTGCTGTACTTTGCTCTCCCACTAGATGGCGTTAATCGTACACCTTATCGCTTACACAAAAACCAATTATAAGTAAAAGCAGCAACCAGATTTAATTAAATAAAAACTCATTTTCAGAAGCTGAGGTTACTATTTAGAGTTGAAGCCACATCTTATTAAGAAATAAAATGTATTTAGGTCTAATTGAAATACTTATAGAAACCATCAGATGTGAGGAATAGTTTGCTTTGTAACCTTTGTTCTCGGCCCTCCAAAAATAGGTCTTTAAATAGCTGCAGGGATCTCCCTCCCTGGTCCTTAAGATCTGCTCTGCATGTTTTGGATGCAGCACAGCTGAATGAAATGAATGGCTCTTAAAAGTTCACATTGACATAAAGTTCTGGATAAACCAGACCTCAGTGAAGTTATTAAAATCTCTGGGTCTCTGTATCCAGTTTCTTGCACTGAAAGGAAAGTTGCATCTTCCTAAAATTCCTCAAAGAGTTTGACTGTTTTGTGTTTTACACGAAATGCCTTCTGTTGCGCACCTGAAACATGGAGCTTATATTTCCATGTTTTGTGCTGAGTGATGACCCTCAATTGTTTTTATATGCATGCAGGTCGGTATGCAGCCACAATGTTTCACACAAACTTAGATGCAGGCAACATTTAAAGGAAATGAGAACGACCACAAAACATCAGATTCCTGGAAAAAGGGGTGTGCACCTGGCAGCAGGAGTTACCCATCCCTGGTTTACAGTTTTTATCTGTTGCTGCAGCCCTACAGGGTTCTGTAAGAACTTCAAAATGCTGACATGAGGAGGAAAGTGTTGCTCG